TAACAAATTGTATACATTCAAAAATCAACAACTAGTTTATGAATTTCCTTGCAGTTAGAATAATTTTTCAACTAGGTAGGCTGTGGAATAAATGACATTAGACATCAAAATTGCACTTGTTTTGACTTGTTGAACTTGAATATGAAAAAAATATACAGGGTGTTCCATTTGAAAAAACAAAATGGCTGGCATTTCCAGAAAAACCGGAAATCCGCCATATTGGATTGTTATGTGATCAAATCCGAAATAGTTGCTTATATAACTGTACCGAAATTCAGAAAAATCCGTTGACGAATGCAGAAGTTACAGGGGTGGCCCGATAGCCTGTGTCACCCGGTATATTTGTATATTTGAAACGTGTATGTTTGTTTTCAGGAATAGGGAGACGCTTAATTTAAATAGTCATAATTATAATTATCATACTAGGCTGAAAAATAATTATTATGTACCCTTTGCAAAACTCAAAATCATAGAGAGAGAATGCACCTTTTTCTGTAGCACTAAAGCTCTCGAATAGACTTCCAAAATTTGAAGAATATCGTGAAGATTCACTGTTTTGAAAGCCATCTCAATGAATTCTTGACAACATCATATTACTACTCCTTTGAAGATTGATCAACTTAAGGATGCAATATTTAACTGTTTTGTTCTCTTGACTATTCCTATATGGTTTTTGTAACTATCAAGAGGAAAATAAAGTTCATTATTATTATTATGTATTCGCATCCTATAGTAGAATCAAACTACTGCTATCACATTTCAGAAGGTTTCCCGTGGATTTATCCATTATTTAGTGATCGTTTTGCTTGCTCGGTTTTGGTGGAAACCGCGATATTAAATTCTCCAAACTAGTCAGCAAACCCTCTCAAAAATTCATAATTTCTAGGCTAACCACATACACTTAATTGCCAAATTGTCGACCGCTAGAGTGCGGATGTATAATTGCGCTGTCCTTGAGAATTTCCCAGGCTCTAATGAAAACAGAGATGGAGTCCATCCAGGATATACAGGGTGTGTCATACTTCAAATGGAACAATTTTATAGCTGGGAGTACTTGTTAGCATAAAAACACAATTTCATAAAAGGAGCACCTTCCTATATAGAATATCAAAATATCACGATTTGGGCCTACTTGCCAAAATTTTGCTGATAAGGAAGTCAAAGGTTAGGTATTTTCGGGCATGAGAAATTATAATTTGCCATCTATTTCAATGTGATTTCCACAGGGAAACATGAGACACTTTTGTGACATGAATTAGCGCTTTTTTCACAATAATGTTTTCAAAGCCTGGACCTTTTGACGTTTGGATATAAGAAATAATCTTGGCAGCTTTTCAACAATTACAGAAAATTTAATTACAAATTATCACAGAAGTGAATGAAAATCAATTTTTTCATAAAAACTTCAACACCCTGTCTCTCAAAAACGAAGCTCTGAAGAAGCCTGTATATCAGTAGATACAGAAGAAAAAGAAGAAGAAGAAGAAGAAGAAGAAGAAGCAACTTCATTTCCAAATATAGGCAAGCCAAATATAAACATAGTTAACATATTCTATTTACACATACTTAATACATAAAAATCAAAATATTTGTCTATTTCAACAAAATAACAATAAATAACAGAGAACTATATCACATAAATTCTATAAAGTAATCTATTTTATCTATTTATTCTAACAAAGTCGTAGTTAATAATATATTTTAAATATAAGTCAGCTTCAATTCAATTTGTTGTTATCAATGTTATAAACAGATGGAAGATGAATTTTTTATATTATTTGGCAGTTTATTAAAACTATCCAAACCCTTGAAAAATAATGAGTTCATACTGCTTCGTGAATTTGTCCTTGGGATGTAGAAATTGGTATTCGATCTGGTATTATGATTATGTACTTCATTGTTCGTGATTAGAAGGTTTTCTAAATATGTTGGTTGCAATTTATTTATTATTTTGAATATAAATATCATAGTTAGATGGTAAAGTCGTTGAGAAACTGTAAGCCACCTTAATCTACAAAGCATATCTTGTATAGGTGTCATTCTATTGCAGGGTAGTATTATTCGCATTCCACGATTCTGCAATTTTTGTAATTGGTTTAATTTGTTCTGATTATTAATAAGAAATAAGAGAGTACCGCAGAAATCATATTGAGGTTTTATTATGCAATTATGTTATTTTGGCATTCATTGATAGTGAAGATGACACTCTTGAGAAAAAATACAGTTTTTTTGATATTTTACTTATTACATAGTCAGCATGATCATTCAATGAAATTGTTTTATCTTCAATAAATCCTAGATACTTAATCTTACTCACAATTTCTACATCATTTTCATTTATTTTAATTTTGACTTGATTCCTTTCAATGTTATGTTGTTTATATTTTGTTGTAATGATTATCCCTTAGTTTTATTGATATTTAGTTCTAGTTTATTTGTTCCAAGGTACAACTCAATATTTTTCAAGAAATGCGATCAAATCTTTGAATTCAATATATTTTTGCAAATTGATGAAAAAAGATATAATGTAGTAGATAGAGATAGATAGATAGATAGATAGATAGATAGATAGATAGATAGATTTATTGTATTGAAAGAATCACAATTCTTATTACAAGGGTTGGGTGATCTGTGATTAATAATACATGAGAACTAATAGCTAAAACGAAAACAAAAATCCTTCCTGCGGGACCTAGATAGGCATTGAAACAATAATTGATATGCAAATTACTCATTCACAGCAAAAAATCTAAGCTTCAACAAATTGATCAGATTCTGTACTAGGAGTTTCAAGTCAGCTAGGCCACCGTAATTCAGAAGATATATTAAATCATCAAGAGATTCAACGTCTTGAAATAATCGACAATCCCTGATACCAGCATAAACTGGACATTCAAAGAGAATGTGTTCTAAAGATTCCGGTCTGTGGAGATTGCAGACAGTGCATTCTTCTTCAGTATTTATTCTATACACTATTCGATTGAAGGTAATTCTAAAGAACGACTTACTGCATGTCCTTATTAGTTGAGCGATAATTCTAGTTATATAGATGGGAACGGGCGCTTTGAGGTAATTTTGAACATTTACCCGTAGAGAGAGACTTTTATAAATGAGAGGATACGAAGATTGGCTCAAACTATCTAAATCAATGCTTAAAAGTTCATTGTTGAATTTGTGCAGAAGAAAAGTTATAGCTTTCTTGGAACTATTGAGCAGAAACTGTTGCCAACGATCGACCATTCCGGCAAAAGAGAAGTATTGTTTGACCTGCAATACCCAGTTGTATTTAGGATCAACGTTATCGAGTCTGAGCAATCTTTAAAAACAGAGCTTTGGTAGTCGATGGTTGTCCATTGAGTTGAGAAGTGCAAAATGTGAAAGAGCAGCAGTGAAAATCAGATGAGAAAGTTTTATTGAGGAAGTTTCCAGACATATATATATAATGTAGTAGTTATAGGTGTGGCTTATTCTGAATCACTACAACATTCCTTCAGATGGAACAAAGAAAAGATTGAAATAAACATTGGATATTGTATATTATTTCGGTTCGTATAGAGTATAGATAGAAGAAGCGAATATATCAGCTACGAAGAGGACTGAAAGATTTATTCTTGTGGATTTCCGAGGCGCAAGACAAAGAGAGTTGGTCTTCCGGACCATAAAAGCGACTTTTCGAACCATAAAGTTAGTCTACATGTTGGGACAGTAAAAGAAGCAATAAAAATTCACTGTGCGTTTCCATCAATTTCCTTCTTGGTTGAACCCGATGCTCTGACGTGGAAAAGCTCATGCAAAACGTCGTACTCGACAGGAAAAACTTTGCATTTCATGTTACGTTGTTGAAAAATTTCGGAGGTGAATTGGAATGATCTCTATATCTTCTTGTATTGTATTTGTATCATTTATATTGATATTCTCTCCCATTTACTCAAATTGTGATTTTTTGCCAAAACACTCTCTACCAAAACTCGATTGTCTAGAGAACGTATATCAATTCAAATTCTATTCTCCTCTCTATAATAATGGTTATATCACTGGAAGCATCAGCATTATAATGTGAGTTGTTATTAGGTCTTTATATTCATTATTGTTTATTCATATTTGTCATCGCTAACCATAATATATAGTCTCATACTTCCAGCTACCCCTAAACTATTAGTGCCTATTTAAGTATTACCTCTCGCAAACTATCAAGCCAAGCATTACCCCTTATATAAATCGATATGGATAGACTAATCATCTATTTTATCGTGACAATAGTAGCGCTTTCATTGTAGAAATGACTATGGGTGCTATCACAGACCATTTGGAATTTGTTCATCACATCTGACTGTACCTGACTGTTCCCAAATATGGGGTTCAGCACCAAAACATACGCTGATGCTCTCAGATTCCATCCAGGGAAGAGCCATTCGCCTGGTGGGTGACGCCACACTCACTCACTCTTTGACATAATTGGAACACCGTAGAAAAGTCGGCGACCTTTCATTTTTCTATCGATACTTCCACGGGAAATGTTCTTCGGAAATCTCTGCTATCATCCCTACACTAGCAATACCAATCAGACGAACTAGACAAGCCCAGTCAGCACATCCTTCCGATGTCAACCTCGAAAGATGTCGAAGCAGCGAGAACCGATCCGACTCTACCTATAAAAGCAATTATTTAAAAGCACTTTATCAAGACTCCTTCATCCATAGAACGGCTAGGCTCTGGAATTCATTGCCTGTGGAAGTATTCCCAACAACATATAATCTCCAGAAGTTCAAAAAAAATTCCAATACCTACCTCCTGTCCATATATATCCTCCCTAGGAACGCACGATGTTCTTTGAACATTATAGGGATTCCCTTTCTTGCGCTCCAAGCGATAAAAAAACCTACAATCTCCTCTCAAATAGAAAATTCCGGATCGGATAAAAATACAATAGACACAGAATAATCTCACTTTGATTTGAAGAATATCTATGATCATGATTTTTATGGTTTCTTTTGTTTCAGGCGGTCTTCCGTACAAAGTCTATCCAGGACATGACGGTGTTCTCACTGAAAAAAGAAAACAAAGGAGAATACGAACTACTTTCACATCTGCCCAGCTGAAAGAACTGGAAAGAGCCTTCCAGGAAACTCACTATCCGGACATTTACACCAGGGAAGAGATCGCTATGAAAATTGATCTTACGGAAGCCAGAGTACAAGTAAGTGATAGCTTTTCCTCATTGAATAACTACATTTAATGTTGGTGTAAATATAAATCCCTTTTTTCTTTCGTGAAATTTAAGATGAGCAAAACGTGTTTGATCATGTATGAAGCATTCGAGATTATAACTAGTATTATATCATACGCACCTGATACTCGCTCTTCATGATCAAAACAGATTTCAGTTAAAGTTGAACTACTTGAGATTTTGAGTTAGATTGGATTCACCCTGTAGGTACATACATATGCAGTTCTACGTCTTCTGGAATAATGCGTGAGATGAAAAATATAGTCATACCAGGTGAGAATGTTTCGCATTTGTTTCGTCTGATGTTTGCTGTTGAATGCTGTTGACGTCCACACATGGAAGTATTTTGTCATTTATATATCGCCTACTTTATTTTATTATCCCTTGTGGAAGCCCTTTTCCACGTTTCTGCACGAAAAAAGGTGGAATTGCATTAGTCCCGTTGTTTCCATACATCTTCGCAGTTCTGCGAATTCCACCAGATGACCGAGTTCTGCTTTTATGATTCATAACATAACATCCTCCATAAAATGAGTTTGGGGTTCTAGGTTTCAAAAACCAACAGATGAAGGTATTTGTAATATTTTTTGGCGAATCTGACGAGAAACGACGAACTATATCCCTCATCTTGGAGACACCATTTCGATTTTTCAAGAACAAGGAAGCTTTTGGGATGAGTCACTCTCATAATTTATCTTTTCTAAGTCTTCGAATGAAACTGCCTCACATTGAGCTGCAAACGGATTTATCACTATGTTCCTTGCATGTTTGAGAAGTCTCAAATTATCTGAAATGAAAGGGTGAATAGCCTCGCTTCATTTATGAGACCGATTATATCTGCAATATGTTCTTTGAAACTGGTGTTAATGCTTCGTCGCGTTTGCCCAATGTGTGTCCCGCTACAGACATCCGAATATGTCATAAATACCTGAATCAACATTAGTATATCACTTTCATTTTGGGGGTTGCCCTGAACACTTTCATTAATCTCTAATTAGCTGAAGTACCTCCTGAAGTGGTGATTTCAGGAACATGATTTCTATGTTAAGCTTTCATTAAGAACTTATGAAGTGTCATATCCATTGGGAATCACAACATTCTTGATTTAATTCAACTCGGTGAGATACTTCTCCTCAGATAACAGAGTTGGCCGAAAAATTCGAAGCAAAAAATTGATCCTGTATAGGTATATACAATATTGCGAGTCACTTGATATAAACCTTTTGTTTCTTCCCTATAGATATCGAAATCATATTTATTCATGTCTCTTCTAGTAATGAGAGTAGCCAAGAATGGCAATCAACCGTTGATTTCTTTCTCTACGATGAATTTGATTTTTTCATATCAAAAATTCAACGTGTTCAAGAGGTCATCGTGATCGCATTTCTCAGTTAAAAAAATAGCACAAATATCATCAACATATCTTAGCGAAACTCTTGGAAATATATGAATAAGTTGACATTACAGCAGATTACTTACCGTGTATTTGAAAACATGGAACATGTTCAAATTCACACAATCATTAAACAAATTTTGCTACAGTTCCAGGGCTACCAGGCCCTTAATGAAGTATGCATATTCCAAATTTTTTCATTTCTGTGGGCCCCATTTTGCATTAATTTGGCACATTTCAGGCAGAGTCTGCTCTTCTGTCATGATGATGGATGTACGTTTAAATAAGTGAATAGCACGGTCGAATATAGGTATGCAGAATAACCCTCCAGCATACAAGCTGAAGGGTGGTCACCTGAGACCTAATATAAACCTATTATAAACCGCCAGTGCTGACCACTAGGATACAGCCTCGGCAAGAAACGAGGTTCAGCCTGGCGTTTATCCCACTTCTGATTCGGAAAAGTGACGTTTTTTATGTCACTGAACGAGCGTCTAGTGGGAAATTAAACAAATGGGTACCTGTGAGGCTATACACAGTGATAATATATCTTCACTCTTACATAGTTGGAAAACTGTTGTGCAATTCAGCAAACATTCAACGAAAATAGTTGCTGACATCAATCCCCGTTGAAATATTATCTCCTCGTTTTCATGAATGAAAATATTAGTAGGTATTATTCCAATATACAGGGTGTTAATTAATTGAGCGCCGATAATACAAGGTGTGACTTCAAGTAAGTTTGAGAAGATCACTTGTTCAAGTAATGAAATGATTTTCGTCTAAACAGATAATGTTTTCACTCATAGTGGGTGCCCATCAATAAATTTTATGCGAATACCGAAAACAATCTCAATGAAGTGAAGAAAAAAGTTTGTTGGTTTTTATTTTTTTACGCGAAAACGATACTTCGTATGAAAGTAAGCCTAGGAACCAAATTTGCTTCAAAATAAATGGGAATTCGAAACATATCTTTGTTCTAAAGAAAAATCAGTGATGTACCCTATTTTATCTCCGAAAATTGTTAGTTAAAACCCCGTACGGACGTCACAGGTGAACATTTTAGAAAATCTTTTAAGTCAAAAAATGCATCCTGATGATGAAAAGGTGTGTACAGAATTTCATAAAAATATCTGAGAAGAATACCACTGACCCAACCTTCTAACGTCATTCTCGTCTGTCACCTTCATCTTCGAATCCTTCAACATATCAAGTTTTACAAATAATGTGAATATTCGAAGAGAATCCTCCAGATCATCTGATTCTTCAGTTATGTGTTGTGTTATCTGCAGTACGTATACAGCCCAGAAGAAACATTTTATATTTGAGTTTCAACATACTATCGAGTAATGACATACCTGCCATTTGATGTGCCGATACTATATAATAAGAGTTGTTCATAATTTTTTTCATCGCTTGGGCCGCATGAAAGGTACTGTTCGAAGAACGTCGTGCGTACCTATAGGGAGGAAAAGGAGAGGAGGTAATGACTTTTTTTTGAACTGTTGGAGATTATAAGCAGTTCTTGGGAATACTTCCTTATAGGCAATGAATTCCTGAGCTCTGCCGGATATTCTGCGGATTATAATTGTAAATCGTTTGTATGAGATCTATATACCGGGTGTCCCAGTATACCTGTTCCAATGGATTATCTCAGTTATTTCGAAAGTAACAAATTTGAAAATTCCATGATCTCCGATTCGTTCAAGGAACCTTCAACTGAGAAAAACGAAAATTGAAAGTCACTTCCGGTATGGCCGGAAGTGACTCTAACTTCGTCATTTCAAATAGCACCCTGTATATTTCTTGCAATTTTTGCTTTCTACTCAAAATTACCTTTCTAACGATGTATCACACTTTGCATTTTACAATTGATTTGATAAAGAAAACGAAAATTGAAATTTGAAATCGAAAGAATTGCAGTAGTCAACGATATTTTGTGTACATAATGATTTGTTCCTCAATAATTGATGATTCATGAACAATTTTGCATTCGAGATGATGAAGAGAACGTCAAATTTCAAATCATTATAGAACTGGAAGAATTAATAATTCTTAAATGAAAACCTTAGTGTGCCATGGAAACGTTTGAATACATTTGTTTGTATCTTTGACAGTATATAATTCTCAATGGTTGTGTGCGACATTCAAGAATGAATAACCGTGAAAATGATATGATAACTTCACAATTCAAGAGAAATTGGATATGATACTGATTTTAATTCCAAATTTCAATTTGTCGTTTTCTTCATCATATCAAATGTAAAATACAAAGTGTGATACATCGTTGGAAAGGCAATTTTGAGTAGAAAGCAGAAATTGCAAAAAATATACAGGGTGCTATTTGAAATAAAGAAGTTAGAGTCTTTCAATTTTCGTTTTTCTCAGGTGAAGGTTCCTTGAACGAATTAGAGATCATGAAATTTTCAAATTTGTTACTTTCGAAATGACTGAGATAATCCATTGGAACAGGTATACTGGGACACCCGGTATAGTCACTGTTTCCTATCCTTCAAATATCATCAGCAATAATTAATCGTGGAAATTTGGCCAAATCATGATATTCTGAAGTCCAAAGCCACGGTGTCCAAAAATTAGCTTGTCAAACTTCACCAGCAGCTTCTACAACCAAAAATATGGAAAACAGTCTCAATGAACATGAATCGATAAAAGTCTTCTAAAGGAGCTACAGCTTCCTGAAGATGATATTTCTTGAACATTCCCGAAACGCTCAATGCATGATAAAATGATGCAATTCTACCGACAGAAGTGAGGTTTTCATGCCCAATGCAGTGGAAATACAATAATTCAAAAATTTCATTCGGGAGTGTATAATACAGGGTGGAAATACATTAAATATTACTTAAACTTTTTTGTATGCTTATTTTTCGACAATTCGATCTCAGGTTATAAAAATCCACAACCTCTTCAAAACGGAGGTGCTCCTGAATCCTAATCCATATCAATCAGATGTATCATTTCTGAGTAGAATCGATTTAAAAATATTGTTACATCTCACATTTTGTGCATAACGTTGCCAATTTCCAAGTCATAGTAGCTTTAAAAGAATCAACTACATTTTATTCACGAAATAATGTCATAAAGACGCGTTGAATAGGAGTATAATGATAAAAACCTACTTCAATTTATGTGCCTTTTCTTCCCATATCCACTACGATTTATAACAATCAATGTTACTCCTAAATAAGACGATGCAGAACAAGAGCGCTTTTTTCCTGAAATGTGGTGTGAATTTTTATAAACCGAGATTAAATTGTCGAAAAATATGTACACAAAAAAGTTTGTATTGTATTATACACTCCTGGCAGATATTTCGGAATGATTTTATGTTTACTGCATTGGGCATGAAGAGTTTAGTTCTCGTTCGAAATTGCATATATTTATCATATAGCGTTTCGGAAATATTCAAGAAATATCATCTTCAGGAGCCCCATTCCATGACGCCGTAGCTCCGTTAGGCGATAATAATAATAATAATAATAATAATAATATATCGTCTTTATTATTTCCATATAGTACAGGATGGGCCACCAGTAACGCCTCGGTCTCTAGAAGGCTAACCACTATTGGGACATATACCGGGTGATCAAGATTCTGAATTCTGCACCACCCTGTATTTGTTTCAATTAAATGTCAGTAGATAGTTGATCAAAAGTTGAGATAGGGACATGTGAGCCGTTTTGACCAATTATGAATGGTTTAGACACAAAAAATTCTTGAACTTGGA